CAAAGACACGGCGCCATCACAAACAGGGCTCACTCCATTGAAAGAAAACGGGAATGAGACGGAAATAGGGTGATGCACACGCACATACACGCACACACGCACGCACACATACACACATATATATGAAACGTGTGTGTGTGTGTATGCGTATATATATATATATATATATATATATATATATATACATATATATATATATATATATATATATATATATATATATATATATATATATATATATATATATATATATATATATATATATATATATATATATATATATAGTATATATATATATATATATATATATATATATATATATATATATATATATATATATATATATATATATATATATATATATATATATTTGCGTATATGTACACACACACACATCTACATACTGGCGAGCGCGGCTGCTTGACTGTCGGCCATCTTGCTCACTCAGGCGCCGCCCTTGAGACACCTCGCCAACGCCCTTTGCGCTTGCGTCTGCTAAGGAGCGTCCTGAAGAGCATTCCTTAAAGTCGGATGTGATGTTGGGATGTCCTGAGGGGTTAGGGGGTCCTAGCGACGCTGGGAATGTTCTTAGGTGCCGGCCCAGGACACTGATCGGGGTCCGTTCCAGGAAAGGCGTCAGGAGGAACGGCGAGGAAGGGAGACCCAGGCAGCCGGCGAGAACAAAGAACAAGACACGGCAGTTTCCGCTCTTCAAGACACGATAAAGTTATTACAGGTGAGTCACTTATCTGATTATCCCTTGAACACGGATGAGATCACCTATATCCATTCATATATACGTAAACTTACATGCATACACACACACACGTACATGTATGCTCTCTCTCTCCTTTCCCATTTCTCTTCCTCTCCTCCTCATTCCTTTTCTCTTCCTTTTCCTCCTACTTTTTCTCTTCTTCCCCCTGCCCTCCCCCTCCCATTTTCCTTCTCCCTCATCCTCTCTCTCTCTCTCTTTCTCTCGCTCGCTCTTATTCTCTCTAGTATACATAATCAAACCATTAATGAAAATAATAATGATTATCCTAACTGTACATGATGAGACTTCCATTTCAACCGCACATGCAGTTTCCGCTGCCAATTCTACACAGATATGCGTAATTCGCTGAGATTGTTCCCATTCCGAAGCCTTTGAGGAATTTCAGTGACGACTACAGACTGATCGCGAATCAGATGTCATAGATTTTAAGACGCTAAGAACGAACACCAATCCTGAATCTCCCTTTCAAGGAACAAAGTACGAAGGAACTGCTGAGTCTCAGAAACGCGCAGCACCTGAAGGAGGCCGAGGCGGCGAGCCAACTCAGGGAAGCCCAGGAGGCGCTCAAGTCCCGAGACAAGAGGGTCAAGACACTGAAGGTGAGGAGGAGGTCGATCTTGAGTGGCAGGGAGAAGGAAACGATATGTAACCATATATGTATGTGTGTGTCTTTGTGTGTGTGTGTGTGTGTGCATGTACAGACGCGATGATGGTTTTGATGGTGATATAATGACAAGGTAAATAATGACAAGTTATTAGAATTCTAAAATAATAACAATAAAAAGAAATAAAATGGAGATAACATCAATAAATACAGTGATTTTGATAATGGAATAACGAGGAGGACGATCGTAATTAGAGCTTCAACAACAGCAAAACTAACCGTCTGCCTTGACAGGAAATCTTACTCATCCTCCATCCAGTCTCAGGAAAAGAAGAAGTGGCAACTCAACCTTGGCCTTGACTCAGACATAATAAAGTGGCGTTGAAGGAACGGAATTTCATTTAAAGCAGTTAGGAAAAATATTGCATGTGTGTTTTGAATGCAAAGTATATGTAAACATGAGTGTTAAACATCAGCTGATGGGAAAAACAAACAAACTGCGAATCGGCTTGGTTGCCAGTTCTTCCTTTCCGGACGCATTATAATTAGTTTACATATCTTATTATTTTATAAATCTATTCCACACAGCGGCAGCTAAAGGAGAAAGAGGCTGAATGCGGACGACTGAGCTCGGTGCTGGAAGAAAAAGAAATACAAGTCAGCCAATTGGAGGTAAGTGTATGTGTATGTATGCTCTACCTGCGTGTGCATTCGTATAGTGTACACATTGTGTGTCTATTATGTGTGTTTGTGTGTGGCTGTATTTGCGTTATATACATTCAGATCGTATGTGTAAGTGGATAGCATGGATGAATGTCATTTTTTGAACCTTTGATGCCAACCATACTTATAACACCCAGTGCCTAGATAACAGATTATCGCCTGGTTGTGACTCGGGAAAGTAATTTAAAAGGTGCATTACTTTTCGTAGATCGTAGATGATCTTTGAAAATGTGCTAGGAAGGAATAATCTAAATAGCGAAGAAGTTTGGCGAAAAGATTGGCACTAGGTAGGGAGGAGGATAGACAGTAAGTCGGATGATAAATCTAATGGAAGAGTATAGATAATCATATATTTCAGGGTCAGCTAGAGATACACGAGAGAAAGGTCAGGACTT